ACACCCAGTGGTGGCCCCACAGTGACCCACAGCAGCCCCACGACAGCCACCAGTGGCTCTTGGTGGCCCCACGGCGCCTCGAGGTGGCCCCAGAGCAGCCCCCCGGTGACCCACGGCACCCACGGGTGGCCCTGGGTGGCCTTGGTAGCCCCACAGCCGCTCCTGGTGGCCCCCCGAGCCCCCAGCCCCCTCCCCCCACGCCCCCCCCCAGCACTTACCGGCCGCCCCCCGGGATGGGGGGGGGAGATGGGGGGTGGGGGGCACCGCCCGCCCCCTTTGCCCCCCAATTTGGGGGGTCCGGCTGCTCCCCAAACCAATCCCCCCCACCCGAACCCACGGGACCCCTCAGAGACCCCCCCAGAGCCCCCAAAGCCTCCCCAGAGACCCCCGTAGCGGCCCCAAAACCCCTCAGAAGTGCCCCAAAACCTCTCAGAATGATCCCAAAATCCCTCAGAACTGCCTCAAATCCTTCAGAACTGTCCCAAAATCCCTCAGAATGACCCTAAATCCTTCAGAACGGCCCCAAACCCCTCAGAACTACCCCAAAATCTTTCAGAACTGCCCCAAAATCCCTCAGAACTGCCCCAAAACATCTCAGAACTGCCCCAAAACATCTCAGAACTGCCCCAAAACATCTCAGAACTGCCCCAAAACATCTCAGAATGATCCCAAAATCCTTCAGAACTGCCCCAAAATCCTGCACAACTGCCCCAAAATCCTTCAGAACTGCCCCAAAATCCCTCAGAATGATCCCAAAATCCTAAAGAACTGCCCCAAAATCCCCTCAGAATGACCCAAAATCCTTCAGAAGTGCCTCAAATCCTTCAGAACTGCCCCAAAATCCCTCAGAACTGCCCCAAATCCCCTCAGAACTGCCCCAAATCCCCTCAGAACTGCCCCAAAATCCTTCACAACTGCCCCAAAATCCCCTCAGAATGACCCCAAATCCTTCAGAACTGCCCCAAAATCCTACAGAACCGCCCCAAAACCCCTCAGAACAGCCCCAAACCCCCTCAGAACTGCCCCAAAATCCCCTCAGAACTGCCCCAAAATCCTTCACAACTGCCCCAAAATCCCTCAGAACTGCCTGAAAACCCCTCAGAATAACCCAAAATCCTTCAGAACTGCCCCAAAATCCCTCAGAACTGCCCGAAAACCCATCAGAATGACCCAAAATCCTTCAGAACTGCTCCAAAATCTCCTCAGAACTGCCCCAAAACCCCTCAGAACTGCCTGAAAACCCCTCAGAATGACCCAAAATCCTTCACAACTGCCCCAAAACCCCTCAGAACCGCCCCAAATCGCCCCCCTGGAGCCCCTCCGGGGAACCCCTGAACCCCCAGACCCCCCTACCCCGCACCCCCGGACGCCCCCAGACCCCTTCACAACCCCTCAGAACCGCCCCAAACCCCCCA